TAGGGATCGATATATATATACGTCACCTAGCTAGCTATAGTAATATAGAAAGCTTTATTGCTACAAAAAGTATTGAAATAAGACAGTCAAAACTACAAAAACTGAGTTGCTTAAAATCTTAAAAATATTATACCTACTTTGGCTCAGACTAACACAATTATTTCTATCGTTCTATATACAACTCTTGAAAATGTAAAAAAATATATTCGTGTGTGTAGTTTAGTCACTGTGCACTACTTAGAAAAACCTCTAAATGTTTCCATTGTTGTTGGTTTTTTTTTTTACTGAACATGGCATAGACGATAGCGTAACAAACCTGTTCTCCCAACTAACAGTAGTTATCTGATATATACAAAATACTGTCAATCCTTTCTGCATACATTCTTATGTTCTGTCAGTGTTTCAGTACAGTTGGATTGATACAGAATATTTTATTATCTTATCTGTGAAGTGTATACGCTTCATTAAAAAAAAAAAAGCAAGGGTGATCCGTGCTGACCAAACGCCCGTGTCCCCACCGATGTTACGTCCTCTCCAATCTGGTTGACCTTAACCTTTGAACCACGACCTTCAAACGTTAAATCAGTTTGTACGCAGTAATCATTGCATAAGGTTGGTCAAAATCCAACCATCCAATCTTGAGATACACCGTCCGCCAGACAAGGGGGGAGGGGGGGGGAGAGAATAAATATGTTCAGCTCTACTTCGCGAAGCAGCGGGGACAGAAATAAAAGAAAGATACAAATATCGGTATTTGCGTGTACTTTGAAGCTATACATAGAGCACTTCGAGACGCGCGCGATGGCTTTCAGTCTTCTTATAAATAATAAATAATCTTACATAATTTATGATCGACTAATATTATTATTAATACACATCCATGTTAATAGCTAGTTTTTCTTGCTCCAGTGAACCTTTGCTCTAACGTATCGCCACCCCCCCCCCCAAAAAAAAAAAACTAACTTAAAATGCGTTTTGTTGTTATACTGGAAATTCAAAGCATTTTCAATACAATATGACGTCTATGGTTGTCTCGCCACGCCATCTGTTGGTCTAGTCTGTCTGTATTTTTAAAAAGGGTGGGTCGTGTACTGAATGAGAGGAAAGAAATTTCTAAACAAAATGATGGTGAACAGATTTGCAATGCTCGAACTGCACGCGCAACTCTACTGTTTAGTCTATGGTCGCAGAAGAAGAAAAAGAACTTCCTAACTTCAACGCTAGAGGTTCACCTTGAAATAAGTCTACAGGAGGCTAATTTGTGTGTTACGGTCTTCGCCAACATGTTATTTGACGATCGCTTAAGTGTTAAGATTTTTTTTTTTCTAACCTTCATATTATTCCCTCAACGCTCTGGCCTAAAACAAAATCACGCAGAACGAAAAATTCAAGAGAATAAAATTATGTTTACTGTCTAAATCTCTTTCCAACAGTTTTGTATTTAACAAATCATGTTTGTTTGGTTTCGTCTAATCCGGCGATTCTCATCCGCCGAGCGGTGTCGCCCTCCGCCCTCAGAAACATCCTTTCCCATTTGTTTCACAGGCCCACGTGTAACTAACTGCATTATGTGTACTTCATATATCTACAGATCATATACTGTAATTTGTTTCGGAAATTCGCACCGCGCATCCCTAATTTTAAACTGACAAATTAGACGGAAGATGTTTTGTTTGTTAAGCGCAAAGCTACACAATGGGCTATCTGTTTTGTGCCAACTACGGGTATTGAAACCCGGTTTTTAAGCGTTATAAACCTTCAGACCTGCCGCTGAGCTACTGGGGGGGGGGGGAAGCTAGTCAACATATATATACAACTATGGAAACATTCTGTACACTTGTTTGAAAACATCCACGCGAAGCTACACAACAGTTATTTATACGCATAGCAGTTGACAGCATTCATCGCTGACATCACGTGACCGAGTAGTAAGGGCCTAACAGCAACTCTTAAGTATACATGCCACCCAATGTGCGGAGCGAGATTTTTTTCCACAACAGGTCTCGAACCACGGATTCACAGTCTGAGCATTCTAATCATCGGGCCACGCCCGGCCCAAAAATTCATACACAGATTTCCTGCTACATAGATGGTCTATCGCAAATTTACACAGCTGTAGAAGCATTCTATATACAGTTATACAGCCACGAGGGAGTTCTATCCTAAACCAAATGGTTTAATATAAATTACATATATAATAGCGACATTTAGTAGACCAACTCTTTTAGAAGTTGAGGAGCCTTGTATTCATTTTTTTGAGAATGTCTTTTGAAATGTACAGTCACTTGCCTTAGACGCGTTAGCTTAATTTACCAGACCAGTGGATCAATTCTGCCACGTTTATTAACCGCATTTTTCAAAAACTACCTATCTCTAACGCGCAGAAATACAAGGCAGCCATGACTACGCATCACGTCATAACAATGACAACTATTATCACTCGCCTTGCCATTGTCCGACTAACCCAACAAAGCATTCGGTATTTTCAATTATCAAAAGCACGTGGTTTGATTGGAGATTTATTTTCACTTGTATAATAAGTTCAACTAAAATATATTAACGTTCATTCCAAGCAGACTGTAATTAAACCTCTGTTTAGTTTCGTATATGACCCACTCAAGGTGATCGAATAAAGTAATCCAATATTATTCATTCTACGTCTATAACTGACTTAGTTATTTTTTTACTCTCTCTTTGGGGTAGTTTACTGTTATCTTTCCGATACGATAAAATATGGAAGAAAGCTGTTATTCGTGATTATATGATAAATGTACGATAGGTGGAGCCACGCCCAGCTTCCTGCCACGAGATAATCACATGCTCAACAAAGACAATGACGTCATTCACGAGAAAGTGTTATGCTGTGTTTATCGGGACAAAGGTAGGTCAAAAAAATAAAAATAAAAGACAATATATAAATGGACCAGGAAAAAAACGTTTATAACTTGATTATATAATTAGGGATTTTTATCTCTCGACTTGGTTATATGAATGAGCGTGTGATTATAAATAACTAAATATACACACACAAACAAAGCAGCCATGTTTGTTCCTAATAACTGTTCATATAGATCCCATTAAACTACACGGATTAAAGTACGTAATCCCATCAAACTACACGGATTAATATAATAATAAAAAATACATAGTTTAATGTAGGTAATCTCATCTGAATTATCGAAAAGGTTTCTCTTCTTGAAGACCGATATTTTACCGGTAAGGACTTTTATTAAGGTTTCTCTTCTTGAAGACCGATATTTTACCGGTAAGGACTTTTATTAAGGTTTCTCTTCTTGAAGACCGATATTTTACCGGTAAGGACTTTTATTAATCAAATAAACGAAGGAAATTAACAGGTCCAATTAAAGTTCACGTTTTGCAAATGAAGAATCATCAGTCGAACAGTATCATTTGTACAGTTTTGTGTGTGTTTTTTTGCTACTCGTGGTGACGGAATAACAAAATTTGACCGTCATTCTTTCTTTAACGGCCATTTTTTGCAACAACGGGTCCCGAAACAGGAGCCCTTGGGTCTCACAGTCCAGAAACTCTCTTAACCGTCAGGCCCTTGACGGCAACGAATCAAATGCAAATTACGTTGAAAGTGCACAAACAGTTGTGTATTCAGGTAAAACATATTCGTGAACAGGGGGCGAGTTTCAAACGTCACGTGTTTATCCATGTACAATGGAGCACAGTAAAATAAAAACATGTACAACTAATCATACATGCTGGAGTCGCATTATCCAAGAAATATTAAACTCAAAGATGTATAAAGCTAGGGTTAAAATGAATATAATTAAAAGAACAAGTTACAGAACCTATACATTGAAAACAGTGATTGTTATAAACGGAATCTTAACTTTACAGGAATGTTTTTAGCTTCGTAAAACCTTCAACAACAAAAACAAAAAACTCGGCAATATATATAAACACACACACACAATATATACTCCTAACCGAAACCCTATTAGTACTACCTGTTGCGAAAAAGTAAAATGTAACAAAAGTATAATTTTTCTCAGGAAATTCGCTGTAACAAAGCTGAAATGGGGTTGTTATGGCAACCCTACGAAATGGGAAAACACACACACACACACACTCGGTTCTTATGTTACATTATATATATACAAGTTAAATAAAGCGTTGAGAAGCTTGACGTTGTTTTCAGAACTCGGAGATCTGAAACGAATTACATTTTCTTTCTGCTAATCAATCATCGGTTCATTTTAATTACAACCATTTTTATTAATCTTATCAACTATACGTTTTGTTCTCGGGTGTAATTTGAAACTTCTGGGTGTTCCCAATGTTTCAAGCTACCGAATATTTTAAACGTGTGGATATATTCTGAAGTACGCGTGTTGAGGTTTTTTTTTTAATGACTATTTTCCTACTGCGTGTTTAGGAAAACGGACAAATTTATTGTCAAAAAAATAAACAGATTTTTTTTCTTTCTTTTGGCACAAGAGCTTAATAATTAAGTAGGTGTCGCTGGATACAGGATAAGGTATAAAGGAAAGCCTAATTGAATCGGCTGATGTACCTTTCTGATTTCAGAGACATCTCTCGTGTCTATAACAAGAGGTTGGTACAATGACGTCTTGTGTTCCACCGCAAGCCGCGGACGTTTCGACACCTGATACATGTCCATCCCCGATGGTACGCTGTTTACTGGAACTGTCACTGGGGCCACTGCATGATTGTGAACGGTTTGCAGGAGGGCTGCGGAAGGAACTACAGACGTTACTGGCATGGCGGCGTCTCGTTCATTGGAATACCTATAAGCTTCAAGGTACCTAAAAGAACAAAAAAAAAAAGTGTTAGTCCGATTGATTTTTGTTCCTTTTTCTTCGTGTAGCTTTCTTCTCACTCATAAAACAAAAATGTATTTAACTCGAAAATTAAGCCTAGTCCTTGCTTAATTAAGCCTATAAATTAAGCCTAGTCCTTGCTTCTCAATGTTACATATCGTGGTATCATTCTCAGTTCAAAAACTTAGAATCCTTACGATTGGTGTAACACACATAACAAATCAACGGTTAGTTTTAAAAAAAGGATATCGAGAGATAATTGTTGTCCCCCCCACCCCCACCCCGGTTGGTCAACAGTAATTTATAGACTTGCAGAGAAACAATCTGGGGTTAGATTCTCTGCGGTGGACAGAGTGCAGATAGCCCATTGTGCAGCTTTTACATTAAGAAAGCAACAACAGAAAAAAATATATTTATTTGTTTAAACTCAAAACTGTACAATGGGCTATCTGCACTGTGCCCACTGAGGGGACTGAACCCCAAATTGTAGCGTTCATGCCCTAAGCCTTACTGCTGAGCCACCTAGAGCAATTAATAATTATTCCTTTATACACCATGGTTGTATACATAGTTGTACCTGTTCATTCCATTCATTCGTATATTTGAAGTTAATCAGTTCTGTTATCAAGCATAAAAGCTATACAATAGGCTATCTGTGCTGTGCCCACTGCAAGTATTGAAACCCGATTTCTTTAAGCCCTAGGACTTACCGTTGAGCTACCAGGGGCAAAGCTATATACTAATAATGTTAGGAAAACACGTAGGTTCAAGAAATTAATTCAACTCAAAAACACGATAGCCTACATAGTGACGGGTTATAGGGTATCGTATTTTTGAACGGTTTTGGCGATAGGCCTCGTCGGCACTGGATACGGCAGGTGTAGTGTGGTTGACATTTCAAGTTATTGATGTACTTCATTATACAGAAAGTCTCGACAAACAATTCGGGACCTGGTGGCTAGGGGACGCTCGACTCGCAATCTGAAAGTCGTGAGTTCGAATCCCCGTCACTGAACATGCTCGCCCTTCCAGCCCTTAGTTAAAAAAAAGTAGCCCAAGAGTTGGCGGTAGGTGGCGTTGAACAGCTGCCTTCCCTGTAGTCTATCACTCCTAAGTTAGTTAGGGACGGCTAGTGCCGATAGCACTTGCGTAGCTTTGCGCGAAATTCAAACCAATCCAAAATCAAACAATTCAGAGATGAAAATGTAACATTAAATATGAGGGTTATTTTTGATTCACTGTAATACAAATTTCACATGTTGTTAGGGGGGTGATCAGTGATTACTGGTTGTACGATCATATAAAACGTATGGTTTTCTCCTTACACCATATTCTTATGCAATAAAAATTTATAAATTTTAATAAAATTACTGTTTGTTTATGATAAGTATTACATGTACGACGTGACATTATATTTTCTTATCATTAATAATCTCTGATCACAGATAAGTACGCTAGCTAGACAAATCAAAACTTAAAACTATCCACAAAATTACTGTTAAGTACATAACCATGTAAATCTATACACAAAAGTAAAGAAAATGAAAAAAAAAGAAAACTCGTTACTATTCGATACATTGATTCATCATTTTGGTATTATTGTTAACACTATTTTCGGCCAAGAACCCAACAATACCTCACAGGTTTCGGCCAGCTTAGGGAACATGAGTTAGTCCTAAGATTACAATATTAAGTGAATATTTCAAAACAACCATCATACATGTAAAAAGAAAAAACAACAACTTATGATAATATTAAAAATTACTTTAAAACATTTTGTATTATTAATTTAGTATATGTATTTAGGACTAACCTAAACAGTGACGTTTACAAAAACAAAGACTTTCATTGGCTCTTTATAATCAAAAGTCTAAAAGTGGGTGTAGTGGAAAAGCAAAATAAACAATTTCAGAAACGCGTGGGGGAAAAAAATCAATATCTGTTTGCTTCTTTGTAGCGTCTCAAATTCTATTGGATACGCGGCGATTCAAATCTACGTCTAGCGAGAAAACCGTTTATTCGCCAACGTGAGTAGATACTATCAGAACAGATACAGGTTCATAGATGTAGCAATATACATCGTTTATTTGCATCTCAAATGGGGATAGTGATACTCGAACCAGATCATAGGAACTAGCTGATTTGAGAACTGCTTGTTAAAAGAGAATGAGACAACATTTTCGGCTTCTATACAGTGAATATCCTTCAATTGAAACTAAAGAAACGAAACCAAGATAAATTCACAGCTTAGAAGAGCACAGATAGATACTCCACAGTAACTCTTACAACTACTCATAACCTACTTTAATCGAATTATAGGATTTCACAGTCACTCTTACAACTACTCATAACCTACTTTAATAGAATTATAGGATTTCACAGTCACTCTTACAACTCTCCCACACGACCCCAAAGTGCGGAGCGCGATTTTATTTTATTTTTGGCGGTAACCACTTGGCTACACTCTGGCCTTCCGCAGCCTAATCAGTAAACTGAAACACTGGAAGTAATTTTGGTGAGAAACACAAGATGGCCCTACGCAGTGAACTGAAACACTGGAAGTAGTTTTGGAGAGAAACACAAGATGGCCCTACTCAGTGAACTGAAACACTGGAAGTAATTTTGGTGAGAAACACAAGACGGCCCTACTCAGTGAACTGAAACACTGGAAGTAGTTTTGGAGAGAAACACAAGATGGCCCTAATCGGTGAACTGAAACACTGGAAGTAATTTTGGTGAGAAACTCAGTGAACTGAAACACTGGAAGTAGTTTTGGAGAGAAACACAAGATGGCCCTAATCGGTGAACTGAAACACTGGAAGTAATTTTGGAGAGAAACACAAGATGGCCCTAATCGGTGAACTGAAACACTGGCAGTGGTTTTGGAAGGAAACACAAGATGGCCCTAATCGGTGAACTGAAACACTGGCAGTGGTTTTAGAACGAAACACAAGATGGCCCTACTTGGTGAACTGAAACACTTGGCAGTGGTTTTGGAATGAAACACAAGATGGCCCTACTTGGTGAACTGAAACACTGGCAGTGGTTTTGGAATGAAACACAAGATGGCCCTAATCGGTGAACTGAAACACTGGCAGTGGTTTTAGAACGAAACACAAGATGGCCCTAATCGGTGAACTGAAACACTGG